GACTTCAGTGAGTACAATGCTATAGAGTCCACCTTCCAAAACAGCCATTTTCTCCAGTAGAATTGGATCTCTATCACCTGGAGATCAGGAGTAATCCTGGGAGATATCCAGCCACCACCTGGAGGTTGGCAGCCACAGAATTATAAGAACATAAGAGACACCAATGTTGGATCAGGCCAAAAGGCAAAGGCCCATCCAGTCCAACACTCTGTATCACACAGTGGCCAGAAATACCAGGTGCCATCAGGAGGTCCACCAGTGGGGCCAGGACATTAGAAGCCCTCCCACTGTTGTCCCCCCCAAGCACCAGGATGACAGAGCATCACTTGCCCCAGAGCCCCTATCTATACCTTGTGGCTAATAGCCACTGATTGACCTCTGCTCCATATGCTTATCTAATTCCCTTTTGAAGCCGTCCATGCTTGTCAAGAGACAGCCCAGGAGGGGCCTGAGTTCCCTGGCAAAATGTAGCTCTCTCCCTCCATCAAAATATCTCTTGATCTATGTCAGAGCTATATAACACAACTGACATGAAATGATGGCAGCATAAAAGGCTGACGAGCAAACTCTACAGAACTACAAACCACAGAAAACATCAGAACAATACCTAGCACTGTAGATGCTGGAAAAGGAATTTGCCTGTTTTCGCCCCAGGTAATTGGAACTTGGTTGAGCATCGCCTGCTGCCAGCTCACGGTCCAGCACGTACACATGAATAACAAAAACCATGCTTCTTTTGATGCATAACTGTGCATTTGTTTCCACTGGCGGTGGATAAGCGGAGACCATCAATGTTAAACAAATGCAGTTATGTGACACAAGGCGCAGGATTTTAGTTGAGGTGCACCTTGGAAGAAAAGCAAACAAGGGAGCTGATGCTTGTAGATTAATGGGGGGATGGGAGGGGGATGGTTTGCATGCCTTTTTCTTCATTACACACTACAAAGGAACAAAATAGCTTGCAAGGCAAAGTAATAAATTCTTTCGACTCCTTAATCAGAAAGGGGGAAATACAAACATTTTGAGGGTGGATTTTACTTTTGCTATTTATTTAAAGCTGCCATTCTTTATCGATTGCCACTTAACGGAACTTTCCTTGCTAGGCTCCTGCTGGGTTTGGAAGTTTGTTAGTTTGAAGTGTGCTTGTTCATCTGTTGCATCCATTGCTGAATTTTTTTTCAGCAATGCTTATTTCATAGGTAATGGGGTGGTAAGAAAATCCATGTGTTATTACAGGCTGTTTAATTTAGTGTGGAAAATAATGAATTGTTAATAAGGAACACTCATTAAATACTCATAAGCTGGTTTATTCGTATAACAATTTCCCCCTTTTGGTAATATTAATAAGCACTGTTTTAATTCAATTTACTGGCAAATATGTAAAATACCAAACTGCACATTTGAATCTGAACTTTCCAACTACTTGCACAGGGTTGCTAACTTCCAAGTGGAGCCTTGAGATCTACCGGAATTACAACTGAAACAATTGATCTCCAGGTTGTAACGGTCAGTTCCCCTGGATAAAATGGCAGCTTTTGGGGGTGGGCTCTGTGGCATTACACCCTGGCTGAGACCCCTCCCCAAGCTCTACCCCCAATTCTCCAAGAATTTTGCAACACGGAGTTAGCAACCATAAATAACCCGCATCCTTGCATGTTCCTATGAATTCATATTTAAGAAAGTTGCAGGATGTGTTATGGCTAATGAACATCATGAAATGATTGCATGCACCCTTAAGCGTGAAATCATTTATTGTTCTCATGTTGGTTTTTTTGCATGAACAAAGTTGGGAAACCTGTGGGGCAGCTGGACAAACGGCACTGAAAAGGAAATTATAGTACACACATGCTCCATTGCCTGTGAAGGATCAGATGGGAACATTCCATGATCTTACCAAAGCATACCATTCGTCCACCTAAGACAGTATTGTCTGTACAGCCTGGCAGCAGCTCTCCAGGGTCTTAGAGGTTTTCACATCACCCTCTACCTGATCCTTTGTGCTGGAGATGCCAGGGGTTGAACCTGGAACCTTTTGCTTGCCAGAGAAATGCTGTACCCTTGCGCCATAGTCCCTTCCCAGCACTGTGAGCTTTAAGTACCACTAAGCAGTCTACTCCAAACTCTCTCAGTAAATATCCTTCTAACAATATTGGATTCTCAAAAGCAGTCTGCTCCAAATTCAATCTCTCTTTCAACACTTATTCCGGATATTTAAGTGTTTCAGACCTCTGGTCTTTCCTCAGGAACAAATCCTATATAGGAATTTCATATTCAATGTTACCTTCAAGTTGACACTTTCATTGATTTACTTTTCTGTTAATCTACTTGGGCAAGGTCTCCTCACTTATTTTCAAGCCGGCTGCTGCCAAAGTCAAATGGACCCAAACTATGCCTCCATAGTTTATTGACCTTTGTATTTTTTCTATGAAGGAATAAGCGTGTTTTTCATTACTTGACACTAAATGATGTTATGGCTTTAATCTAGTTTCTTTTGTTATTGTATTATTCTGTGGGCATCTAGCACACATCTGTATATATTTTTTCTCACCAGACTGTCTTGTTCTTGTGGATGGTTTAAGTACCACTAAGCCACAAGAGTTGCCTTGCTTGCATTAAACAAGGTACCATTTAGTCCATTGTATCCAAAAATGTGAACCAGTACTGCGGCACTGCAGTGATCTGTTCTTCTCTCCTGTGTTTCAGTATCCCTGTGCTTTCAGAACCAGTATAGTAAATACATGAAGCTGCCCTAAACTGAATCAGACCATCAGGGTCAGTAATGTCTACTCAGACTGGCAGCAGCTCTCCAGGGTCTCAGGCAAAGAGGTCTTTAACACCGGTGGGATTTAGAGTGCAGTGCTTAGAGTGCTGGAATTTAACAGGAGACACAAGGGCCAAACTAGATGATACCATGTCTCCAAGGCCATTGTGGAGATGTGGTGCTGTTTTAGGGCCTGGATTTATACTTTTCAAAATCCTGCATGGGACTGATCCTGTTAAGGACTATAGTTAGAATTGCCAGCTCCAGGCTGGGAAATACCTGGAGATTTTGGGGGTGGAGCCTGAGAAGGGTGGGGTGTGAGGAGAGCAGGCACTTCAGCGGGGTTCAGCGCCATAGAATCCACCTTCCAAAGCAGCCATTTTCTCCAACTAAAGTGATCTTGGTCTCCTGGAGATCAGATGTAATAGTGGGATATCTCCAGTCACCACCTGGGAGTTGGCAGCCCTACCACACTGTAGGGGCAGGAGAGGCTCCTCACACCTTTTTCAGGAGCAGGATGGATGTTTGGTTCTTGAAATTAGCATGCCTGTTGTGACAACGAGCCTCACCCTCCCACACTGCAGTCCCCAGCATGATCAGCTACTCTTGGTGCTTTGAAAAGCAGAATCCACGCTCTAAAATGGCACCTTGTTGTTGTGGCCGACTTGAGTATTCTCAAATTCTCACTTGCCGATGAAGCTCACTGGTGACCTTCAGACAATCACATTCTCTTAGCCTAACTTACTTTACACAGGGCTGACGTGTGAGCGAAACAGAGGAAGAAAGAGTCCCCTGCACTGTCCCAAGCTCTGTGGAGGAAGGACATGATAAAAATGTGAGAAGCAAATAGTAAGAGAGAATGGTGGGATTGTCCTTTGGTAAAGAAATTTTGGGATCAGATTGGTATAGAAATGTCAGGGATTGTGGGAAGAAGGGTAAGAATATCTAAAGCAATGGCACTTATTAGTTTGGATAGTATAGGGTTAAGGTTAAAAGAGGAATGTAAATGGATAAATTTGCTGTTAGTAGCAGCAAGACAAGTGATTGCAAGGAATTGGAAAGAAGCTGAGGAACTGACGATTAATCATTGGAGGGAAAGGATGAATAATATAATAATTTTAGAGTATCTTACAATGAAGATACGTAGAATGAATGGGTTAAAGGTTAAGGACCAAGAGGAGGACTGGTTTAAAAGGATGGCGGGGTTTAAAAAATTTGGGGTGATTAGTCAGTTAATAGGAAATTGAGAGGTTAATTTGATTATAAGATTAAGATGGAAGGTTAATAGAGTAATAGAGTTGTACGGAGATTGATTGTGATATAATACTGTATGGAATTTTATTTATGTCTCTAATGCCTGGAAGTCGCACATGGGTGGTGTTGGTGTTGGACTTTTTTATGAAATGAAATAAATTAAAAAGAGAGAGAGAGAGAGAATGTCTGCTGCGACTGATTGCCAAAAACCAGTCTAGTTAGATTTTGGCATGTAGTTGTCACACATTCAACTATTTCAACTTGTGTCAGAGCAGATGAAGTCAACATGAGTCATAAGCATCAGCGCTTAAAGTGCAGAGGACAAGGTGTAATGCTCAGTGGATCAGTGGGCAAATGTAAGAAGCATATATTTGTATATGAACATCATCAAACTGAACAACCCTATCCTGGTATTGTAAAATCCCCAGATTTCCTATTAAAAAGTAGGTCTCACTCCTCATGACTGAAGGATGCAAAACAATACAGAAGTTTAGCAGCTGTTACTAAATGACGATACCAAATGCTGTTGCTGAGCCACGTAGTCATCTCGGTAACACACCTTTCCCAAGGATCTGAGACTCTTCTATAGCCCATATCCCACTCCCTCCCCCCTCTAAGTACTGTACAAGTTCCAATATTTTTCTCAGGCCATGACAAAGATATGGCATTCTTTGGCGGCGGCGGCGGGGGGGGGGGGGGGGAAACGACTATGGGACGACACACACACCAAACTCTGCAACTTGAATAAATTATCAGATGGGGTAAATTTACCCAATCAGAAGTATTTGAATTTATGAGGTCAGAGTTCTACAACTCTAAAGATTAAGCATGTCTGTAAATTAAGACTCCTGAGATGAGTTCTGACCCAATACAAACAAGACAGGGCGCATCACTGAGTAGTTAGAATCTAAGCTAGGTCATCTCACCAGTTTAGTCTTGCACAACCTTTTCTACAGACTGCCTTTGCAAGCATATTGGAAGGTACCTGTATCTCATTCCTGAGACAGCTTTGTCGGTCTGCTGTATCGACAGTCCGTGCATAAGCAAAAACTTCTGTAGTAGCATCTGTTCAGGTTGGCTGTTTAATCCCTCAAACCAGCACCTGACTGGAGAGCTTATTTTAGGAACCATACTTTGTCTCTTAAATTTTAAAGGTGCTTCGTTGGACTTCTGTATGCTTGCTTTGGGTGGTGGGATATCTGTACAAGCCACTTTATAGAGATTCATGTTCCGAAGCAAGAACCAAGAGCCGGAGTCTGTTTCTCAAATTTCAGATGGCCACGTTCGCTGGCTTCTCTAGATGGTTGTCACCATGATGCCTCCACAAGAAGAAGATGCCAGTTGTCTATCGGACAGCCAGAGTGTGCAGCACAGTGAGTCACTTTGCAGTTTCAGTCGACTAGCTCACTTTATCCAATGTCTAAGATGGACCTTGATCCTTCTTAATTTAACTCAAACCTCACATGGTCATAGACTGATATAAAAGGGGCCATGGGAACAGAATGCCAGCCCTCTTTCTCATACCATTATATTTAGGTAAAGAAAAAAAAATTCATTTGGGATCCAAACCAGGGCTGATGTTTGTGCGCTCCCACAGTGTTTATTTAAAGACTTAAGCTAGATTCATTGTACTATTTCAGATTTCCGCACCAAAAAACATGTAGTTTTTATTTGTTGCAAAATAACCAAATGTCTTCCCCTCAAGGTAGCTCTGATTTTGTAGGCATTTTGTGTTTTCTTAGCACTCACAATGTGGGGGTGGGGGTGGGTTTGTAAGCCACTTTGAGTCCCCAGCATAGAGACGAGCGAGATAAAAGTACTTAAATAAATATGTAAATTTCTTACTCTGCATCTCAGCTGCTTTCTCCTCAACAACCCAAAGGGGACATTAACTTTCTCTTCAGTAGTGTGTTGACTTCTACCAGGGCTCTTTTTGGGCAGGAACGCACAGGAACTGAGTTCCAGCTGGCTCCCAAGTTGGCCACGCCCAGCAGGAACTCATTAGCATAACAGGCCACACCCAACAGCAGGAACTCATTAGGATTGGCTACATTAGGGGTGTGTGGCCTAATATGCAAAGGAGTTCCTGCTACAAAAAAAAGGCCCTGGGTTTTGACAACAGACAAGGTAAACAGAATAACAAGCAAAAGGTGGGTGTGGCTGGATGACCAGACTTCTGGTAACATGGGGGTGTGGCCTACTGTGCTAATGAACTGTGCTGTCAGGGGTGTGGCCCAATATGCTAATGAGTTCCTGGTGTTGGGTGTGGCCTATTATGCTAATGAGTTCCTGCTGGGCATTTTCTACAAAAAGAGCCCTGCTTCTAACCTTGTCTCAAGCATGCACAAGTCTGGCAGAGTTGTGTTGCAGCCACCCCTAACCCGAAGGCCTCCTTTCAGTCACTAATCTATCAAACAGAATATGATTAGATAATCAACTCATTTGATGATGTCTCATGGGTTCAACTAATCCTTAAATCTTTCAAAAGCAGATAAGCCAAGACTGATCTACATGTTTCGAAAAGATGGTAATTCTGTGTGGCAGACAGAGAGAGATTTCTGGCAGGGACATTTGGGTTATTCTTGCTCTGCAAGCAGTGGTGGATCAACGTCCTGTGGAATTTGCATGACCTTGCCAGCACACCAGTTGTTATAAGCCTTCATCAGGGTCTTATCTCCAGATTGAAGCCATTCTCCATTATCATTTATAAAGGTCAAAGCCTATTTTAATATCTTCTCTTGAAACCCAATATGTATTTTCAGAGCAGCCAGAAAGACTTTGTTTACTATCCTTTAGCAAGCGTAGGTAGGAAGATCCCAGGCCCCAGAGACCAAACTGCTATTCCAGCTCACGCTATCAGAACAAACGGAACATATCATACCTTCCAAAATTAATTAAACTGGATTTCATGATGGTGGAAGGATCAAGAGCATGATGGTAAAGGGATCAAGGTGAGAGTCATTGTTTTCCGGCTTGTCCTTTAGCAACAGAGCAGCTCTTTCCCCTTTCTTTCTTAGGAGAAATCCTGAACATTTTTCATAAACATATAAAACTGCCTTATATGGAATCAAATCATTGGTCCATTTCACCTACTTGTAGGCATTCCAACCAGCAGCATCTTAGCCATGTATCTTTGCCAGTCTCACCACCAGACTCTTCAGCTGCACATACATGGGATAAAACCTGCAACTTCATACCTACAAAAGATGTACTCCATAAACTAAAGGATAAGGTGAAGGCAGCCCAATGGTGATAGGTTTGCCAACCTCCAGGTGACATCTGTAGATCTACCACTATTACAATTGCTCTTCAGATGACCATGATCAGTTCTTCTGGAGAAAATGGCTGCTTTGGAAGGTAGACTATATGGCAATATACGCTATTGAGATCCCTCCCTTCCCCTCCCCAAACCTTGTCCTCCTCAGGCTCCACCCCCAAAACCTTCAAGTATTTCCCAACCCAGAGCTGGCAACCCACCCCCACTTTCCATGAAGAAAAGTCCTTCTGGTGGCCAGATAACAGGGTGTTGGTACGTACTGTATGGGGAAAAGCTACAAGGAGCAGGCTCGGTTGTTGAACATCGTGGACCGAAGTGATGGAAGCACATCTTCCTGCTCTAACTAGGGCTGCCAGCAGAGGGTTCCAGGGTCCATTCTGGGATCTTCTGGTTTAAGCCCAATTTTAATGTAGAGTTTTGCCCCAAAACTAGAGTGTCATCCCTGACATCAGCAATGTGATGATGTCACAGGTGACATCATGACATTGCGTTCGGGGGCATTTGTGGGTGGTGGTAGCTACCAGGTTTTCCCTAGAAGTGACATCACACCACTGCTAACAGTTTTTTAAACCTTATTTTTCTCTCACCTGCCGCAAGAGCAATGGTGGGGAACAGGATTACCCACTCCTAGCAGGAACTTGGTGAAACGAACTAAACCAAACAAAAACTAAACTAAACCAAACTAATATTTAAAATTAAACTGATACATGTTTTATTGGTTCAATTGTTTAAAAGTTTCGTAACTGGGCTCTGGGGTTTTGGAACAAAAGTCCAGAACTATTCATTCTCTGCAATATGATTCCTATAATTTCTATTTACATAGATAGAAATCCTAGTTTTAAATAAGAATTTATTTATTTATTCAATTTCTATTCCACTCTCCCCCCCCAATTGTGGGGCTCAGAGCAGATTACGACATAAACAAGCAATTTAAAAACTCTTAAAATCTATACATACAGAATCAACAATCAACCAGATAGCGTATAGACCATGTCACTGTTCCCAGGGAGCGAGGGGAGGGGAAGAAATAGAGGGCAGTATATAAATAAAGACTCCCTGATCTCACCCATAAGCCTGGTGATGCAATTCCATTTTACAGGCCCTGAGGAACTGAGCCAAGTCCGGATCTCACATCAGTCGCTTAGAATTAAATTTCACTGGTTAACCAGTGTTTAAAAACTTCTATCTATTGCAACTCTTTTAAATTAACGCTTCCAGTACTGGAACTGTCAACCGACCAAATGAACAACTTTAACCTGATCCACTGCAGATCCCAGAAGTCAGGTTCACACTGCGTGCGCTCTGCTTCTTGTTTGATCTGTGACATCTGTCCTCTCCCCACATTCTGACTCACAAGCCATCTGCACATCAGACAACAGGTTGCCCTGGCTGTGTCAGCACAGCAGGCACCTTCTGGGACGTGGGACTGTCCCAGCCACATTGTTCCTCCTTCAAGTGAAATGATTTATGATGCTCTGACACAAGCTGAAAGAATTTGAATGAAGAAGTCAGCAAAAAAGCAGATCACGTGATGTTGGGGATCTTAATGTAATCAAGAAAGGCTGTGTTGATCAGAGGTTCTATGGCTCCAAGATATGATCCAGGATTTGGAATCAGGGTCCAGTCTTCCTCCTGTGATTGGTGGGGGTGGGACAGCTAGCACAAGCCATTCCTGGAGCCAGAGATGTGTGGTAAGTAGTCATTTTGCCAATCTCCAGGTGAGACCTGGAGATCTCTTGGAATTACAGCTCTTCTCCAGTCTACAGAGACCAGCTTCCCTGGAGGAAATGGCAGTTTCTGAGGGTGGGCCCTCTGGCACCACATTCACACTGAGCTCCCCCCCCTCCCCATCCCAAACGCCACCCTTCTCAGGCACTGCCCAGGGTTGCCAGCTCTGGGTTGGGAAAGGCATTGGCAAGCCCAATAAGTAGCATCCAAGTCAAGGAGGCTGTGCAGCCTGCTATCTAAACTCAAAACTGCTTCTGAATAGGGGTATAAGAGAAGCCAAACATACTTCTTCTAAAGAATATCCTGTTTTGTTTTAGCTCAAATTATTATTACTTTGGTTGATTTATTTATATTGATACATGAAACAAACCGGAGGTCCTATTTTATGAAATCTTTTGCCCTTGTTTTGGCAATCTTCAAGCTGATTCACCCATTACAAAATACAGGCAGTAAACAGACTTTGGATTGCACATGTGCCTGGAGTTCCCAAGCGGGAACTAAATTCCTAGGCATGCACAGTTTCACTTCAGATCAGGTCCACCACACTCAAGAAGAAAGGGCTTCACTCCTCCCTCTGTGCCGTTTTCCAGTCCTGAAGCGGACCAAAGGAGCCTCTATTTGCCCCAGTGGGGAAACCTACCTGTAGTAAGCCCTTCAGGTCAGAAGAGCATGGGTGGGAGGGAGGATTGCCAATGCCAACCCTGGGTTGCAGATACCTACAGATTTGAGGGTGGAGCCTGAGACAGCAGGGTTTAGGGAGGGGAGGGACCTTGGTAGGCTACAATGCCATTTAATCCCAGGGTTGCCACCTCCAGGTGGTGGCTGGATATCTCCCCCTAATACAACTGATTTCCAGGCAACAGAGTTCAGTTCACCTGCAGAAAATGGCCACTTTGGAAGGTGGACTCTATGGCATTATACTCCACTGAAGTCCCTCCCCTCTCAAAATTTTGCCCTCCTCAGGCTCCACCCCCAAAATCTCCAGGTATTTCCCAACCCAGACCTGGCAATCCTATTTAATCCACCTTCCAAAGCACCCATCTTTTCTAGGAAAAGAGGAAGAAATGTTTTAAATAAATAAGTAATAAGCAATTTATGTAGTCTGGAGATCAGTTTATAACTCTCGGAGGGACTGCTCCCGGGGGCACTCAAGGAAGCGGTGGTACGTCCTCTCCTTAAAAAGCCATCTCTGGACCCGACCAAATTGGTGAACCACCAGCCGGTTTCCAACTTGCCCTGTTTGGGCAAGATAATAGAGAGGGCTGTGGCAATGCAGCTACAGGGCTTTTTGGATGACGCTTCCATTCTAGATCCCTTCCAGTCTGGCTTTTGCCCGGGTCATGGGACAGAGATGACACTGGTTGCCCTCACAGATGATCTCCGG